AACCAATAGTCTGCCGTTTACGGGATTTATCCGCGACATGCATATGAACCGCGACAACCGACGATAGGTGTAAGTCTCATTAGTTGGTACCCAATTATAGTCGCTCGCGCTCCACCGAGCCCATGATTCACAATTATTTCATGCGGAACCCTCTGCGGCCCTCGCCATCGGTTGCCCAGCGAAAGGCCAGAATTCCACTGTGATTGAGCCTGTGTCGCTGCATCATCTCACTTCAAGCGAATTTTCTTCCGCTATGTCACTGTTATCATGCCTCACCGGCCAGGACACACCCCAAACATGCATAACTTTCTTGCTGCTACGTACAACGAGTGAGTTCCTCCGGTGCGGCAAAATTCATTTCTGAAACGAGTGAAGCTCGTAAACCACACGAACAGTATAGCCCCGTCCGAGGAGTCAGTTGATTGTCAACAGCAATAGCAGCCGTAGCACCACACGTATCAATATCAGCAGCCGTACCACAAGCAACCTGGACACGTCAACGCAACCGTCGTGCTATTAACACTGCCGATGCAGGGGCAGCCACCTGTCGGGGGTGTTGGGATGGACGTGTGCAAGGGCCGTCACAATCCTTATCGCGGAGGATTCGCGTCGTTCGACCTTCGCTTCACATATCTCAGGGAGGGCGGGCATCAGGTGTCTCGATCGCCGGGACCCGGTAAGAAAATCCATAGACATACATAGATGGTTCCAAGTGCAACCGCCTGCCGCGGATACTCATGCAATCTTTCCAAAGTGGACCGATATATAAATGGTACGCGTACTACGATGCATGGATTACCAGGACCTCCAAAACGATTCGCAACACTCAGGACAATACCATTCTATACGTTCGCCACGGATACATTTTTAGATTTACCATACCTACAGTACGAAGAGGATTTCTCCAGGTTCATCCAACTCCCTCGACATTATTTCGCCCACATGGTTCCCAAGTACATAGGAGGGTTTTCAGGACTGTTCACTCCCCCCATGTACTTCCACGGTCGAGACACGTTGGTCGTAAGTCGGGCTGTTGCCCCCTTAGACCAGTTGATCGAGAGTTATTCGAGGAGAGGGTCGGAGTGGTTGTGTCTTCAGGCATAAACCGTCTTGTGAGATCACTACCTTTTCATGAACCTCTTGGCCCAACTGCTGCAGGAAACTACGACACTCGACACCTTACCGGCGGTGCCCTGGTTAAACGTCCAAAGACCCCGTCCCCGTGCTTCCGTCGGCCTGGTGGCCGGTTGGACTTCGGCGTCGGTGGGACATGGCACAAGGAAACGCCGCTCGAGAGCGCTGAGGGGTACGGCACTGTTCGGGGCAACTTGAAGGTGATGACTTCGGGGGCCGTAACCCTACGTTGGAGCTCAACCGTACTTGTTCTTTTGTCGAAAATGGCTGTTTACAGCAAGTCCAGCGAGTGACTTGAGCAATGTACGTGGCTGTTTGGAGCAACACGGCCTCACACGTGTCAGCACTGTGCCGCAACACTCGCTGTTGAGGCACGAGAAACTCGTTCACTTCGCCTCAGGGTGGTACAGATGCATTCAAGGGGCGCTTACGATACAGGCAGCCAAGCAACTGTTTCAGGCTTGTTGAGTCTTGGTCTGAACCCGTAGCCACGTTACCTTTTCGGTTTGGAACGGCCCATCTCGGAAAGTCCCAGCACGATTGGAGGCAGACCCATATTCACAGCGCCTCCGTGCTCCCTGTGAATCTTTCCCGACTCACCACGCGTTCAAATTCACTCCAAACTCCAAACCACCAGAAGCAGGCTCAGCACTACAGCCTAAGCTTTCGGTCGAAGGCGGACAGGCTAATAGTTAACAAACCGGCCAAGACCACCCACGAAGGGATCGGTCCCGGCTGTTACGACCTCTCCAAGGATGGTAAGTCCGTCGGGGTATGGACGGAGAAGCGGGTGGGCCGAAGGGGTCGGGGGGGAATGGGATCGACTAACCAGTTCCTCGTTGACTGGCGGGCGTACATGAAGCGGCCCCCGGGATTGAAAGACGGCTGTTGCTGTCCCGGCGATGGAGGAGGGGGAGGAGGGGGAGGAGGGGGAGGAGGAGGAGGAGGAGGAGAAGGAGGAGGAGGGGGAAGAGGAGGAGGAGGAGGAGGAGGAGGAGGAG